CTGTGTCCCAGTGTCTGTGTGTCTGTGTGTCCCAGTGTCTGTGTGTCCTGTGACTGTGTGACTGTGTCCGTGTGACTGTGTGTGTCTGTGTGTCCCTGTGACTGTGTGACTGTGTCCATGTGACTGTGTGTGTCCCAGTGTCCCAGTGTCTGTGTGTCTGTGTTTCCCTGTAGTGTGTGACTGTGTCCATGTGACTGTGTGTGTCTGTGTGTCCTAGTGTCTGTGTCTGTGTGTCCTTGTGACTGTGTGACTGTATCCATGTGACTGTGTGTGTCTGTGTGTCTGTGTGTCCCTGTGAATGTGGGTGACTGTGTCTGTACGGCTGTGTGTGTCTGTGTGTCCAAGTGTCTGTGTGTCCCTGTGACTGTGTGACTGTGTCCGTAACTGTATCCGTCTGTGTCCCTGTGACTGTGTGACTGTGTCTGTGACTGTGTGTGTCTGTGTGTCCCAATGTCTGTGTGTCTGTGTGTGTCCATGCGAGTGTGTATAGACATGTCCTTGTATCCCTGTGTCTGTGCATGTTCATGTTCATGTGTCCCAGCGCCCATGTGTCTCTGTGTGTCCATGTGTCCCAGTGTCTGTGTCCCAGTGTCTGTGTGTCCCTGTGACTGTGTGACTGTGTCGTGTGACTGTGTGTGCCTGTGTGTCCCAGTGTCTGTGTGTCTCTGTGTCTGTTTCCCTGTGAGTGTGACTGTGTCTGTGTGACTGTGTGTGTCTGTGTGTCCCTGTGAGTGTGTGACTGTGTCCGTGTGACTGTGTGCGTCTGTGTGTCCCAGTGTCTGTGTGACTGTGTCTGTGTGGCTGTGTGTCTCTGTGTCCATGTGGCTGGGTGTGTCCATGTGTCCCAGTGTCTGTGTGTGACTGTGTGTCTGTGTGTCCCAGTGTCAGTGTGCCTCTGTGACTGTGTGACTGTGTCGTGTGACTGTATGTGTCTGTGTGTTTCGTGTCTGTGTGTCCCTGTGACTGTGTGACTGTGTCGTGTGACTGTGTGTGCCTGTGTGTCCCAGTATCTGTGTGTCTCTGTGTCTGTGTTTCCCTGTGAGTGTGACTGTGTCTGTGTGACTGTGTGTCCCTGTGTGTGTGACTGTGCCCGTGTGACTGTGTGTGTCTGTGTGTCCCAGTGTCTGTGTGACTGTGTCTGTGTGGCTGTGTGTGTCTGTGTGTCCAAGTGTCTGTGTGTCCCTGTGACTTTGTGACTGTGTCCGTATGACTGTGTGTGTCTGTGTGTCCCAGTGTCTGTGTGTCTGTGTGTCCCTGTGACTGTGTGACTGTGTCCGTGTGACTGTGTGTGTCTGTGTGTCCCAGTGTCTGTGTGTCTGTGTGTCCCTGTGACTGTGTGACTGTGTCTGTGTGACTGTGTGTGTCTGTGTGTCTCAGTGTCTGTGTGACTGTGTGTGGCTGTGTGTCTGTGTGTCCCT